CTCTCTCTCTCTCTCTCTCTCTCGAACATTAAACGCGAATGGTAGACGTACGAAACGGCAATAGCCCTTTCGTTTCCCCCCTTTTATTCCCCGGCTCGAAAAATGAGCCTTTATTTCATCGGTCGAGCGTAAGAAGAGCCGCACTTCTGCCACCTAAACGGGCGCGCGAAACGAGAAAGTAGACTCTCTTATGGCGCTTATAGAAGTCGAAGTATCGCTGCCCTCTACCCCCACCCCCCACGGTCGGGTAGTCGGCCAAAGTCTACGTGCACCTAATGCAATGGTTTATTGCTAATATTTCTTCGGCAGTAATATCGGCTTCGCGCCTCTCTTCGGCTACAAGTTTCTCTCTTATATTCCGCGAGGGAACGGCTCGTTCCAACTTCTATTACCATTGCTGCCAATGTAAGTAAGTACTTACGTTCACGGCCGACCGGGTGATTCGAAACTGAGCCGAACCGTTCGCATCAGAGATGAAAGTATATAACGTTTCCCTGCCGTGTCGTTGAATAACAAATCAGCTCGAGTCGCCTGTTCTAGAATTTTCGAGATATCTAGGTTCTTTGACGCTCCTTTGAGAAGGAGGAGAAGACAAATCGCACCCTTGCGTTGCGGCCAAGATGGTCTCGAAAAAGTTCCATCGATTAGGTAAAAGAAAAAAAAAAAGGAAGACACGAAAAAGAGAGAGCAGACAGACAGATTCGAGGAGAGATCTGGTACGCGTGTACTGGTAATCAGGTACAAACGAGTAACACGGTGCGAGAGCACGGAGCTAGATTAAACGCGAGGCCCGTATAGACGTGCTGTTCTATTCGGTCGAAACGATTAAACGTAACGAGTGCCACTATTGAGTAAGAACGTGCGAGCAGCAAACGGGCAGGCAAAAGAGATGGCCGGTAGAGGAGGATCGGCGAACAACGGGGCCTTTCAGCCGAGTCTCCGCCGACATTAATAGCTTCCAGAATTAAACGACGACTCGGGCAAACGTGGCACGACGACTCACGTACCGACGTATACATCATTGTCGCGTACGTTGACGTGCACCATCGTCGTACGCAGCACGTCGCCGACACCAAGAATAATCTGGCCGTTTAATCATCCAACTTAATTTCGCAAACTGCGAGACGGAACGCTAACGGAGGCTAACTTGGGAAAAGTACCACGCTGAACATTCCTCTCTTCGTACGTCTCTCTGAGCGTCTCTTGAGCTTTGAAAAAACTTGGAGTCGCTCGTCCAGCTTGCGGTTTAAATACCTCGCTACCTCGAACTTCGAACTGACGATCACAGCGAGAAATTCTTTTTTTTTTTTTGTAGTGCAAAAATCGAGATTCAAATTTATCCGTAATTTACAGTTTTACAGTTTTCGCAACGAAATATTATCGAGAAAATATATTATCGGCGTTTTTACTTGTTGGGAATACCATCGAAGAATTATTAAACCTGAGTGGTATACCATCGTTTAATTCGTCGTCGAAAGAAACACTGATTTCGTCGATTTACACAAGCTAGCTTTGAGGTTAGTTTCCATCCCTTCGACATCGACGGTTGCCGA